GACCTCCCGGGACCCTGTGCTCAGCAGTTACCTGTTTTGTTCACGTGTCTGTACCCTCTTGCTCGGAGCTCTGTGGGAGCAAAGCAGAGTCTGTCTGGGTCACGCCGGTATCCCGGAGCCCGGCCCAGTGAGGACTGGCTCGCCAGGGTTGCTGAATGTGTCCACAGGAAAAACGCGGCCAGACACGGAGATGCCACCGTCCTCAGGAAAACGAGAACAAACCACAGTGAGACCCCACTTCACAGCCACTAGGACGGCTGGAATTAAAGACAGACAAAAACAAGTGCTGGCAGGGTTGGGAATGACGCTCACCCACAGTCGGTGGAGTGTGACACGGTGCCGTCCTCAAAGAGCTCAGCAGAGTGACCAGTGACCCAGCCACTCCACCCCTAGGTGGACACCCAGGGACAGGACAACATAGCAGCATTGTTACCAGTAGCCAGAGTGCCCATGGACAGAGGCATAGATGGACAAAGTGCAGCACATGCGTGTGGTGGCGTGTCCCGGCCACAAACAGGGACGAAGCCCTGACACATGCTGCAACGGGGGTGAACATGGTGACAAACCAGTCACGTGCACGAAACGCCCAGCGCAGGCAAAGCCATGGAGACAGAGAGCAGGTTGGTGGCTGCTGGGGGCTGGAGGGAGAGGGGGAGGGACTGCCCCAGAGGTAAGGCATTTCTTTGGGAGAGGACAAAAAATGTTCTAGAATTAGATTGTGGTGACAGTTGCACAACCCTGTGAACACACTAAAAACCATCGATTTGTTCCCTTAAATGGGTGGATTTTATGGGACCTGAATTGTATCTCAAGCTGTTAGAATGATAATTTTTAAAAAGCATGGCCATTTTGCCACTTCTCATGTCCTTTTGGCATCTTCCTCTTCCTTCCTTCTCTGAGCCGGGCTGAGATGAGACTGTGTGGGCTGCTCAGGGAAAGACAGGCTGAGCCAGGACTCCCCGCCGGCCCAGGGATGGCTCAGGGGTGCGGAATCCTGTCAGACAGCTTCTGGTTTCTCTTTGAAGGCTGAGGCTGCTGAGGAGGAGGCCGAGGGTGGGGAGGAGAGGGTGCAGCCAGCCCTGTGCCCAGGAAGTCGGCTGCTTGGCACGAGGGCAGTGAGTCCAAGCCGGTGGTGTTTCCGTCAGAAAGACACGTTGGTTGCAAGGACCAGAACTCACGCAAGCTAACTCAAGGAAAACAGGAAATTATTCAGGAGCAAGACAAGGCAAATGGCTGAGCGGGCCAGGCTTCAGCCCTGACAGAGTCTCTGGAGAATGTTCTAGTCTCTGGAGATGGGAAGAGCTGGACACAGGTGGCCAGGACTTGGGCGGGGTCCTTCTTCAGCCCACAGCCATGAAACCCGTCAGACAGCCTTCCTTGCTTCCTTCCTTCCTTCCAGAAAGTCCCGGCACCTCCGCCTCCTTTATTCTGAGAGCACTGAGACCAGACTTCACTCCACCAGCTGATTTTCAGGGACAGGTTCCTTCATGGCAGGGGTGCAGAGCAAACAGTCTTCTGGGTGCACGAGGGTGCGAGGCTGCTCCCTGGCTGGCCCACTCCTTCTCACACAGCGCAGGGGCCACTTGGTTCTAGATGCCACTCAGCTCACCAGGCACTCCTGCCATCCACGCCAGGGAAGGCTCACTTGAGCAGGGACTCTGGAGAGCCCGTGAGCACCCCGTGGTGCTGGCCAGCTGCAGGGTGTCGGGCCACAGGCTCCAGGTGGCACGCTTTTCCCGTTGCAGACCATTGCAGACAGCGTAACAGCAGGCGCCCAGCCTGCCCCTAGGAGCCTGGAGCCAGCACTGCCGACAGGAAGAGCCCCATCTCGGCCTGCACATGCCCTGGCCATCAGGCAAGCCTCGCACAAACCGTCCCTGCAGCCTCGGGTCCCTTCAGGTCAGGCCTCCAGAGCAGCCTGAGCAGGACAGCCCCGGGCCCCACCCAGGGCAGGCTGGCAGGTCTGGGCAGATGACAAGGAACTGCCTGGAGCAAAGCTCCTGCCGGATCTGGTGGAGATGACCCAGCCCCACCCTCCAGGAAGCCTGGCAGGCCCCAGGCAGCAGGGGGTCCCACAGTGGGGCCCAGGATCCCTCACCGAGTTGGGGACAGGGGAGAATGGGGCTTGGTGCTGGAGGTGGCTGTGAGATGGGGCTCACAGAAGTACCATGGGAGAGAACCTGCAGGACAGGAGGCCATGGTACCACGAGATGTTTCAAAGGGAGGTGCTGGAAGTGGGGCCACTGCAGCGGTGGCAAGGCCCTCGACGTGGCTGGGGAAATAGTTGGTCGGGACAGCATGGAGACAGGTTGGCTGGGGGCCAGGTGGCTGAGAGCCAGGTGGTGACAACAGCGCATCTCAGTGTGGCTTCACTTAGGGAGCTTGTAAAAACACACACCCCTGGCCCTTCCTGATGCTGCTCAGCAGCACTTGCCAGGGCCTAGGAACCTGCATTTCCACGGCACGATGGACAGCAGCCATGCACACACAGGGCTTCCCACCTTGGGGCCAGGTGGGGGCTGGTGATGCTGGCGGGGCTTGCAGGGAGAGGAGGAGAGGCTCAGCCTCCCCGGGTGGGCGGGGCTGCCAAGTGCTACAAAGTTCTCTGGGAGGTGCCACCAGGCTGCAGATGGGAGAGGCAGATGGGTGTGCTCAGTGTACCTGGGCGGTAGGACAAGTTTCACAGAAAGAGGGACATCTGAATGCCATTGCTGCAAGAGGAATTGGGACTTCTTTCCCATGTCCTCATTAAATCTAGACAATAACCAATGTGAGGAAAATATTGCTACTTTACACATGGGGATGAGGCTTGGAATCCAAATAGGTTGAGTCTCAAGTAAAGTTATCTGAGATCGCAGGACACGGCCAGGAGCAGGGGTCCCGGGGGTCCAGGGCACCGTGTGAGGGGCCTTGCCTGTCCTGGCCTGCCCCTTGGACCAGCAGAAAAATCGGCCAGGTTAGAGGCCACTGCCACCCCGGGCCCCACTCTCCAGCTCTGTTGTATGTGAAGGGACCAGGGTCCTTCATCCTTAGAGCGAGGGGGACCCCAGACCACAGACCTGCTGTGGGAGGTCAGGGATCTGGGCCACAGGTTGGGCGACATGACTGAGACCCTGAGCGAATGGTCTGTCTTGTAAAGCCTGACTTGACTTTCTTTGGCATAAAAGTACATCTTCCCAGCCAGGCACCATGGCTCATGCCTGTAATTTCAGCTCACTGAGGGGCTGAGGTGGGAGGATCACTTGAGGCCAGGAGTTCAAGACCAGCAACATAGCGAGACCCCGTCTCTACAAAAAATTAAAACATTAACCAGGCATGGTGACACGTGCCCATAGTCCCAGCTACTCAGGAGGCTGAGGCAGGAGGATCTCTTGAGCTCAAGAGTTTGAGGCTGCAGTGAGCTGTGATGACGCCACTGCACTCTAGCCTGGGTGACAGAGCAAGACCCTATATAAAATAAGATAAAATACATAAAATAAAATAAAAAATTAAATTAACAAATTTAATTTGAAAATGGGAAGGACTCGAATAGACGTTTCTCCAAAGAAGATATAGAAATGGCCAATAAACACATGAAAAGATGCTCAACATCCCTAGTCATCCAGGAAATGCAAATCAAAACCACAACGAGACACCGCTTGCTATGGTTTGAATGTGTCCTCCAAAGTTCATGTGTTGGAAACGTAGTCCCCAACACAGCAATGCTGAGAAGCGGGACCTTTAAGAGGCGATTAGGCCCTGGGTGCTCTGCCCGCAAGAGTGGATCGATGTCGTTACTGTGGACGTGGGTTAGGTATCTTGGGAATAGGTTCCCGATCGAAGGGTAAGTTTGGTCTCTCACTCCCTCTCTGTTTTCTCTCTCTCACTCTCTCTTGCCCTTCCGCCTTCTGCCATGGGATGACATAGCAAGAAGGCCTCGCCAGAAGCCAGCCCTTCAATCTTGGACTTCTCAGCCTCCAGAACGGTAAGAAGTATCTCTCTGTTCTTTATAAATTACCCAGCCTCGGGCGTTCTGTTATAGCAACACAGA